TGGCCCACTGGATTTTACTTTCCTGGGACCTCCGAGGGACTCTTCCTCTTCCTCCTCCTCCTCCAGCTCTGCTGCAGCAGTCAGGTGAAATCCTGTCCATCCGGGCAGCGTTCGCCTTTTCTTCTCACCCCATGGCCACCCCACATCTGACTACGGCCACCAGCTGAGCTCGCCTCTGCAGCGTTCCTGACTCTGCATAGTGCATCCCGACCCTGCTTCTCACTCTGAATCGGAGCCCCCCGACCTCGCAGGGAGGCGAACCTGCGGCTGGGATTTTCTTGGTGGCAGGGGAACGTTAAGATGTTGAAAGGTCCCCGGCCGAGAGGGGCTGCGCGGACGCCAGGTCACCCGGCTAGAGGGGAGCAGGATGGACAGAGCCGTCGGGGCCAGCTCTGCATAGTGCATCCCGACCCTGCTTCTCACTCTGAATCGGAGCCCCCCGACCTCGCAGGGAGGCGAACCTGCGGCTGGGATTTTCTTGGTGGCAGGGGAACGTTAAGATGTTGAAAGGTCCCCGGCCGAGAGGGGCTGCGCGGACGCCAGGTCACCCGGCTAGAGGGGAGCAGGATGGACAGAGCCGTCGGGGCCAGGAACCGAGGCTGGTAGGGAAGGATGGACTCCCGGACCTGCCAGGACAGGCAGCCCAGTGACCCCCCCAGCAGCAGCAGCAGCAGCAATTGTAGCAGCAACAAGAGTAGTTGTGAAAGGGAAAGGATCCGGAGTCGGATGAAAATGGTGATCGGGCAACTGGAAGGCATTTTACAGGAGCTCAAGGAGGTGGCCAAGGAGCTCCGGGAGGTAAGAAAGTCCCAGAGGTGCCATCACATCCCTGCGCAGGTTGCAGTAGCTACTGGCCCCAAACGAACGTGGCCTGTCCCCATCCCCCTGCCTCCGGGGCTGGATTTGGGGAAACAGAGCCAGCTCAGCACCCACAATGCGTCAGCCCCTAGAAGGAACCTGGTGTGGCACAGGATTTCCAAAAAGAGGAGAGGGAGGGTGGAAACATAGACATGGTTTGCAAAACTGACCTTGACACTAGAGTTCGCTCAGGGTCAGGGGGCCCAGCTGAGGCAACGGCTCTGTGGGTGTTGGTGGTGGGAGAAGCGCTGTGGAGTCATGCACTGGGGCTGGGGTAGCCAGTGTTACTGGCACCATGCCACGGTCAGCTCTGCTCTGTCCTGGGGAGTGTTCTCTGGGCCCCTTTAAAACCAGAGAGATGGATGGAAAGGGGATAGTGTGTCCCTCTGGCATTGGAGAGGGCACCGAAAATATGGCATCAGCCCTAGGTGCAATGATGAGGGGGTCTATAAGGTGGGCAGGGTGCCAAAGCAACTGGCTGGCCCATAGGCTGGCTGTCAAGGTCCATTGCTTCTGCAAAAACGAAAAAAATATATGTACACAGATGTAAAGTGTGGTTGAAGTTTCCTCCCAGCACAGGTGCTGCAGAGTCAGTTTGGTGGGGAATTTAATCTTTCTGTGGCTCAAGCTTTCGGGTCACCACACATTTCCAGGGTGGAGGGGAAGGGGACCTCGATGGGACTGGTAGTTCAGGACATCTCTGCAGGTGATGAGGGAAGCAGTGGAGGCAAATTCTCTCCCCCAAGAAGGGCAGAAATTAGTGGAGGTTTTGCCATAGGGCCACCGTGGAGCAGTCCCTCTCAGGTCAGTGACATTTGGATGCCACCAGGAGAGTGCTGATGCAGGTGGACCAACATCGTCCTTGGTGAAGACACAGCAGTGGTCAGAGTGGTGACGTCTTCCAGCCTGAAGTACCTTCTGGGATGCAGTATCCTCTTGTGGGACAGCTCCACTTGGTCCAGAAGTTTTCCAGGAAAGCCAGTGCCTGGGGGAGATGATACATCTCAAGACACTCCCCAGTGAGGTTCCCAAGAGGGCTCAACCTGACTACAGCACCCCTAGAGATTTTGCTTACTCCCGTGGCTTTGCTGGTCCTTCCTGCAGTAGAAAGCAAGCATGGCCACAAAAAGCAAATCTCCCCCCCGAGTTCCCACACCAAGAGAGGCCAAACCCCCTTTGAATAAATCTCTGATGGGTTAAAAATAGTCATAGTAGCAATGATGGGAGGCAGAGCTATTTTCTGTTTAGCCTGAGCTCACTTCATGCTCCTCCAAGAGCTTCAAGAGATCTACAGACTGATGGCAATTGTTCCCTTTTATTGAACCCATGGATTTAAGGCCAAGTAGGACCACCACTATCGTATGAGCATCTCTCCTGCCAAGGGATAAGGAGGACTAGGATGAGACAAATCTCTGACTGTTTCACAGCTGAGGTCAGGTTGTGCTTCTCACCAAGCTTTGGGTGGCTCCACAAAGTCCCTGTCCAGCTCTTGGGGCCACAGAATCCCTGCAGCATCATTTGCGCAAGTCAGGTTGTACCAGCACATGTCAGAGTAGAGAAGAGAAGGTGGCCTGAGGACGCAAGGGAGCAGTAAAGTGCTCTCGGCCATCCCTGGGGACACATTTTGGGAAGTAGATTCAAAGGAGGAGGAATATCATTGGAGAGTGGAGGAGCTGAGCTGGGTGCAGCAAGGACTCTGTGCTTTGAGGAGCAGAGGGTGGCCAGAGGGCACCCATAGTCTGCCCCTCACCTCAGGGAAGGAGTCCATGCCCCATGAGACAGCTTCTCCAGAGTGTGTTGGGAAACAGAGGCCTGGAGATGACTCTTCCAAGGAGCTGGCACATGCCTAGACACCAGTGACCTCCCAGGCCATTCCCCATAGCTGCTCTAAAAGAGCCCCTCACGTCATGGGACAATAAGGCCAGGTCAACATCGAGCCACAAAGAAAGGTATGTAGTAGACACCAGGCTAGCCAATTTGAAGTTCTAGGATACTGGTGAAAGAGAAGTGGTTGTCTGCTTTGCGTGTAGTGATGCTTTCTCTCAGCTGGAGCTAAGGATCAGGACATGGGGACAAGCTCATGCATCCCCAGACAGGGACTGATGGCTCAAAGCTGAAGTGGGTTTACAGGTGGGAGTCCCAGGTGAGGGTGCTCAGGGCCAAAGCCCTTTACTGCTGGCATTTTTTATATTGTATTCTCCAACAAAGCCACCACAGGGGCTTCAAAAATATCATTCCAAAAAAAATGCCACTCAAGGCTTTGCTGGTGGGTTGGAGCATGGGAATGGATGTGCTCAGTGAGGGCAACAGTGGACCAAATCCAGCGGCACCTGTGGAGTCAGAAAACCTTCACTGGGTGATGCTGGGCCTGCTTCTTCCTGGTTTTTCTTACAAGAGGAGCTGGATACCCGGACTTTACAGGTCTGGAAGAAGCAGTCAGGTCATAATCCCCTTGACAAAAGCAGTCCTTGAAGTCATCAGAACCCCTGTGTGGGCACAAGGGCTTTCACACATGGAGAATTCCTGCTCCAAAACCACTCGCCAGCCCCAGGCACAGCTCCCTCTGGTTTGCGTAAAAGAGATTCTAAGTCCCAGACTCAAACAGGATTTTGGGATGCTCCAGAGGGGAAGCTTCAATGGGAGACTTCCAGGCAGCCCTGTGGGGCTGACCCACCCCCTGGGGATGCGATATGGTACCAGAGCCTGGTTCAGGCTTCATCCCCAGCTCCTGGGAAGTAATTCCCACCTGAAGCTGTCATTCCAGATGTCCACTGGATTCAGGAGGCTGTTTTATCAGTTTCTCTGCTCCTCTGCTCTTCTTCCCTCCCTTCTGTGTATATAGTTACTCCCCTAGCACTCCCAAGACAGGGTTGTATTATGTGTGGGGAAAATTATTATTAAAAACCCCTTTTGACTGAAACAGCACACTGGAAATAGAAATCAGGCAGGAGGCAGGCAGGGAAGGTGCTTCCGCCAAGCTTCCTACACGCCTCCTTCCAGTCCCAGCCTTTTCCCACAGGAATAAAGCTGATGCCACGGAGAAGCAGCTACCCCAGGGAGGTCCCAGCCACCTCCATTGCAAGGCTGAGCTCCTGCCCAAAACTGGGGCATTAGTGCTGGGGCACGGTGTGTCAGAAACCATCTGAGTGATACAGTCAGAGATGGGAAATAAACATAAATCTCCGGACAATTCTCCCTATGTGCAACCCCCCCAGAAAAAAATTCCCATGGGAAGGATCCTATCTGCACACATGGGAGCAGTGAGGTGCCACCACCAAAAGAAGCAGCACTGAGGGGTCATCCCCCCCAGGCCTTTGGCAGGGGACTAAGCCTTCCCTGCAACCCCTTACGCTAACAAGTACATTAATAACGTTGTAATCAATAAGTGATTAGCCAGGAACGCTTGGGAAAGTTCATGGCAAGAAGGCGGCTTATTATTCTAATAATAACGTCTTAGAGATCTGTGTGATGATTTTGAACTATTTAGCGGCTGATGATCTAGCAAATGATCCCGAGATCTGTGGCACGCTCATTTATAAGCATCAGCTCGGCGAAAGAGAGGCCCCCGTAACCCAGCTTCAGTTTGCGAGCTCCAATTAATCATTTATTCCTTATTAAATATTTACTCACCTTGCCTATGCTGAGAAGCAGTTTGGGAGCTGCAGCAAGGTCCCTTGCTCTGGGAGTGTTTGACTGCGAGGTCCTGGGGCTCTGGGGTGACTCTTTTCCCGCCCATGAAAAGGGGAATAGATGTTTAAGGTTATGATGTCAAATGCCTCTGGGATGATTTGATGCTTTGGGAATAGGGTTGGGGATTATTTTTTTTCTGCATGGGCCACGTGGTCCTGTTGCACATCTCCTCTCATGTTTGAGCAAAGCACAAGCAGGTCCAGTCCAGCCTGGGAAAGCAGCTTCATAGTATTGGAAAAATGCTCCAGACACCAAAACTGCGCTGCCGGAGGTGTGCAGTGGCGTGCTGGGGTGGATGCACAAAAATCCCAGCCTGGCTGGATTGGGAGGGCATCTGAGGGGACACATACACATCATCGAAGCAGACATCCCGCTTTGATCTCCCCATCCCGGACTTTCCCCCTTTGCCCAGCAGTACTCACCTCGAGCACTCATCCGCTTCAAAGGCTGCACTGGGTTGAAGGGCCTGTTAGATCACACCACTTTGATCCCAGCATCTTCCAGTTCCTGGCCACAGGAAGATGCATTACCAATTACCGGTCACAAAGTCTCTGAAGTTTCCTCTCATCCTCCCACCTCATCCTTCACCTTTCTAGCATCTTCTTAAGCTTCCAGGAGGTTTAGCTCCTTGCTAGGAAATGGCATGGTCAAAAGGCAGAAGCTGAAGCCACCAAGCTCAGCTTGCAGTCGGGGGCCTCCATGCTTGATTTGCGGACAAATTCCATTAAAAAACAATGATGCTCCTGATGTTCAACATCTGGGGAGGTAAATATCCAATTTGGGGTACGAGGCTTTTATCTGAAAAGCTCCTGGCTGCCAGCGACATCCATGGGTGCAGGGACTGTCCATGGGGCTGACTGCTGGGAGCCAGGCTGCTCAAATCTCATCCCTTTGGGCAAGAGCTGAGCACCCTTGGCCACCCAGTGCCTGCTTTCAGGGCACTCAGGAGCAGTGGCATGAAGCCCCTTGGTGGCACCATGCGCAAGGTCAAGGAGAGTTCTTTTTGCTCCTTATTTTCCTGCTGCAAGGTACCCCTGGGATGCTCTGCTGTCACCAAAAAGGTGACAAGGAAAAGGAGGATAGGGACATTTCCTCTCGGTCATTCCCATGGCACCTCCAACACACACTGGGGACACCCCAACCCCCATCACCTGCTTGTAGGGACACAGAGGCACCCCAGTTCCCAGGGGATGAGAGTATGTCCTCCAAATCCCAGGCAATGGGATGGGATGTGCTCCATCCTTCCCTCCCCATCGTTCTCACCTCAGCTGCCTCTACCAGCAGCAATGGCCTCGGCTGAAAAAGCTTTGACAACCCACATCAGGAAGGAAAAAAAGGGGAGAAGAAACCCCCCAAATCCTACTTTACATTTAAATCTTCAGTGGGTACCAAGTGTCACACAGGTATTTAACATTCCCCGCCCCCCTCCTTGTGTCACCATCACTCGTTCAAAACAGAAAGCACTCCTAAAAATAGCCCTGGATGAGCCACTGCTGATGTGACACTAATCCCCGTGTGCCACGATGAGGACCGGACTGGGGACAAGAACTAGGCTGGAAACCTGGCACCGACTGAGCCTGAATCACAGCTCATTCCTTTAATGAGGATGAGGAGGGACCTTGGGTGACAAGGACCCAATTGGAAGCCCAGGGAGATGCCAGCCCAAAACCCAGTATTGTAATCCTGGAGCCTTTATGAAAACAGAGGTGATCTCATTCTAGCTGAGGGTTTCAACAGAATCATTTTCTGCCTTATTAAAAAATAATAATAGCCGGGAGTTTCCCAAAGACAGCTCTTTTCCTGCCCTTTTTCCTAATTCTTCCTTGTCCCCAAGAAAGAAGTCACATCATCTTTTTCCCTTGAGTTTCACCCTTTCTTCCCCAAAGAAAAGAAAAAGAAATTTAAAAAAGGAAATCTAGTGGTGCACTGAGAACAAAAGCAATCACCTTTTTTATTTTAAGATATTCCTGTGGATGATCCCAGCTTGCCCTTGGCATCCTTCAAAGCAAAAGCTTGAAGGACAGATGGGTCCCTGCCTACCCTCCCCAGAGGTCTTATGTGGGCAAGGAGGCAGTAGAAATAAGTCAGAAATCATGGATGAGGAGCTTAGGTAAAGCCTGTCACCTTCTGCTGCCTGGGGTGAGAAGCACTCAGCTTATTATCCTCAGCATTACCCTGTTTTGGTAGTCCCAAAGTCCCTTCAGGAAACAGGGACATGATGTATGTCCAAGATTCACTCCCCAAGCAGGACCAGGGGTGGGCTTCAACATACCTTTTAGAGGTCCAGCCAGGAGAGAAACCACCCATGAGACTAGGGACAGGTTCTCATACAGGGAGAAGAGTTGTAACCTAGAGCTGAGCTTATATGGGCTCCAGGGCAATGGGCAGGGTGAGGGTCCCAGGTGGGGCTGATAGAGGCCATCATGGTATATTACTGCCCACCCTTGTGTGCTCAGGTGGTCAGAGCACTCCTCTTATTTCCAACCTATTGTTTTTTTATTGGGAAAGATGGAGGTTGTTTTGGCATCTTTCATTATCAATGTGCTCCAGGGCAGCAATCCTCAGCCCTTCCACCTGGGGACACTAGCTGGTGCCATCTCAGAAAGGGTCTTCATGTTCCCCAGTTTCTCTGCTAGGTGTTAGAAACAGGCAGCAAACACAGTTCTCCAGCCTCATCACCCTCACCCAAAAAATATGGGACCTCTGTGCCCCTTGGGGTTGTGCTTCCATGGAAGTGACACTATTTTATCCTCCAGAGATGTTGATCCAGATGGTCACATGGCATTTGGTGGCCCAGGAAATGGTCCTAGCTGCACCCAGAGCCTGGAGATGTCCCGTGGGGACCTGCAGCTGATTTGAAAGAGCCATTGTTGGGGGGATCCAGCCATGGATCCCCTCAACAACCAACTGAGGGGGTTGAGGTCCCCCATCCTTGGTGCCATCTCCTCAGGAGTTTGGCAGAGCAGGAGAGCTACATGTGTGAAGAGGTGGAACAAGTGAAATTTGGAGCTCGAATATCGAAATTTTGTTAAAATTAGGTCAGCAGAATGTAACAGAGCCATTTTGGCTGCTGGCAGCATCGTCATCCCACCCAGGCTCCTGGTTTCAGATGCCCAGACAGATTAAATTATCCTTAATTCTGTCCACACATCCTCATCCACCACAAAGGCTTTGCTGGGACCCTCCCGTGCTGAGCCACCATTTATGGTGCATTTCCAGCAATTTATGGTGTTGACCCAAATTTCTGGTTGACCCAGACCTCTGCGTGTCAGCATGATTCAGGGGCCAAGGGCAACCCAGCACCCATGACAGCAGCTTCAGGGTACCCACCCTCAACCACTCAACATGAAGATGGGATGTCTGAGCCCAAGGACCCGTTTTCCCCCATGAAAAGTGGTCAGAAAAATAGAGTTCTGGGCTAACAGCAGCATAAAAATGATGAAGAGATATGCCATGATTAATTACTCTTTGCAGGTGAGGAAGTCTAACACCCTTTGATGAACCATGAGACTGGTGGAGATAAGACAGGCATGAGGATAAGGAAAGGAAACATGTCTGGGAAGATATTGCTCATTGATTTGTCTTCTCTCCTTTATTTGGGGAAATTCAGGGCTGATTTCCACTGGGAAAGGACATAAGGAAGGATAAAGATAGGGAGAGAAAGGTAATAATGAAAAATAACCAGAAAAAAATGCAAACAATTTATGCATGGAGAAACCACCTGGAAAAAGCTAAGCAAAGGGGGGACGATCCCTCCCTCCACACCCCTGCACACATGTACATGCAGAAACACCAGCGAAGAAACGTCGTGGTGCTCCCGGAGATACAGGGATGGCTCCATCCAGATGGCATGGCAGCAGGTGCTCAGGTGGGATTGTGGAGCTCTGGGCAGGATTAATGCTGTGCTGGGTGCTGGGCAGCCCTTAAGATGGATGGGATTAAAGACTTGAAGGTGGATAATGACCCTTTTGCATCTTAAGGCTGTTAGGTGGAGACCATGGTCCATGGGACCCATGGAAGAAGGGAGGTCTTCCTTTTCCAGCCCTGCCCATGTCTTGAATCTCAGCTAGGACACTATATCTATAATTTTTAACTCATTAAGCACTCATTTTATTCACACCCTGCAGCCCCTCTACCTTCCTATCTATTTTGTCCGGTAACGTGGGGACATCTTCCACCTCCTGCCTCAGTTTCCCCACCTGTGGACCTGTCTTTTCCCAGGGGGAAGAGGTGGCAATCACTGGTGGCTCCGCATGGTCAACTGCGAGGGACCAAAGGACACCACATGCATGGGGATTTGGCATGACACTCATGGTCCCAGGGGACATGGCAGACCCCAGGACCACCCTGTGATACTCAGCACCCAGGGGCACCCAGGTCTTCACCACCTTGGGGTGTCCTCTGGGTAGGCTTCAGTTCCTGCCAAGGTGCTCCCAGAGTGGCTCTGCTTGGGCTGAGGCCTGTCAACTCATCACACCAGTGGCGCTGGGGAAAATGGCTGAAATTTAGGGATGTGGTGTGATTACAGAGCAAAAACTGGGAGGGTCCTGTCCAGCAGCTCCTGTCTGTCCTCCCGTCCATCCTTCTGTCCACAGGTCGTGAGCCAGATTGACCGACTGACGTCCGACTTTGAGTTCGATCTGGAGCCCGACGACTGGACGACAGCGACGGCCAGCAGCACCTCCAGCAGCGAGAAGGGGGGAGGAACTTTCGAGCTGGGACCCCTCGATTTT